ACACACACACACACACACACACACACACACACACACACAAGAATTTTACCAATTTTTTCTTTTAAATATATTATTTTCCTATTGTTCCTGTAACAAATCACCACAACTTTCATGGCCTAAAACAACAGAAATTAATCCTAGAAATTAATTCTATTACAGTAGTCGGATCAGAAGTCCTCAAATGTCTTTTCTGGGGCTCAAGTTAAAGTGTCAGCAGGGTTTCTTATGATAGTTTTCAGGAGTGGGGCTCTTTGCTTGCATTTTTCAGCATCTGATGGGGACTTGTATTCTTTGGCTTATGGTTCAGTCCTCCATCTTCAGCGTGCAGCATTCTGATCTCTGCTTCCACCCATGTGTCACCTTCCGGTCTCCTCTGACCACAGTAAAATCTCTGTTTCCTTCTTCAGAGAGTGCTTGTGATTACATTTCAGGTCTACCCAGGTGATTCAGGATAATGTCATTAAAAGATCTGTAGTTTAATTGAGGCAGCAAAGTCCCTTGTGCAGAATTGTCACCAGGTGCGTGGATCTTAGGATCTCCTCTCCAAAGAGGAGATGAGGCCTACATCCTTGGCTCAGCACCACAGAAAAGCCTTTCAGGATATGTCAGTGAGAGGCATAGGCAGGTTTATTAGGCAAGAGGAAAAAGGCACTCAGAGGTATATGGGCACTCGAGGAGGCACACTGTGGCCTAAGGTGGGGGTGTGTTTGTAATCTTGCGGTATACTTAAGGTGTTTATTTATTTATTTTTCTGAGTAATTTATTATTTACCTAGTGTCTGTTTCCATAAGGTCAGGTTTCTCATTACTAGGCTAAAGTAAAAACTGGCTTTATCAGCTAGGTTAAAATGCATACCCATTGGCCAAGCATGGTGATACATGCCTGCAGTCCCAGTACTGGGGAGGCTGAGACAAAATTGCTGTAAGTTTAAGGTCAGCCTGAACTGCATAGGGAGATCCTGTCTCAAAAAAAAAAAACAAAAACAAAAAGAATAGTGCATACCCTTTGACAAAGACAGCACAAAACTTTCTCTTCACTGAAATTGGTAGTATAAATGAAACATATTAGCATATATATTAAAATATTTTTGAATCAACAGAATAGGTAATTTGGAAAATTAGACTTCTTCCTATGTCTCTATCTTCTTCTCTCCTCCCCTCTCCTCCCCTCCCCTCTTCTCCCTCCCCTCCTCTCCTCTCTCTCTTTCTCTCTCTCTCTCTCTCTCTATATATATGTATATATAGTGTCTCGTATAAGAGAAACCATGCAATATTTAAGTTTATGTGTCTGACTTATTTCACTTTATATTATGTTCTCAGGTTGCATCCATTTACCTATGAATGTCTTAAGTTTTATCTTCCTTTATGGAAGAGTTGTACTTCATTGTGTATAAATATATTTTGTTTATCCATTCATCTGAAGCAACATTTTGGCCATTTCTGCTTCTTTTTTTTTTTTTTTTTGAGAGGATCTCACTATGCAATTCAGGCTGACCTTGAACTCAACTATATAGCCAGGCTGGCCTCAAATTTGCAGCAAATCTCCTGCATCAACCTCCTTGGTGCTGGGATTATGGATGTGCACAGTATGCTCAACAGCACTTTTTTTAGGATTATGATATATAGCCAGGTGTAGTGGTGCACACCTATAATCCCAGAACTAAGGAAAATGAAACAGGAGAATCACAGTGAGTTCGAGGCCAGCCTGGGCCACAAAATGAGTTCAAGGCCAGCTGAACTATATAATGAGACCCTGTCTCTCTCTCTCTCTCTCTCTCTCTCTCTCTCTCTCTCACACACACACACACACACACACACACACAAAAGATTACAATATACGGTGTATTAACTATTGTTTGTTTTTGTCTTTTTGAGACAGGGTCTCACTATGTAGTTGAGGCTGGCCTTGAGCTCACTTTATAGCCCAGGCCGGCCTTGAACTCACAGTGATCCTCCGGCTTAAATCTTACAAGTGCTGAGATTACAGGCATATGCCACCACACCTAGCCTGTATTAACTGTTATCCTCTAATTATTTTGTTGGGAAATTTTGTTTTTTTCATGGAAGTAAGAGTGCTTTTAATATTTTCTTTATTAATATCTATTCACATAGCATGAAAAAAATTTTAAAATGTATACCCATTTGTATGTATTTGTTTGCAATATGGTACCAAATTAATAATACTAGTACTATTTATTCCAGAGTGGAAATCTGTTATGGTTTGTGTCTAGATGTCTCCCTAAAGCCTAACGCACTTTTAGGTAGGGCTTTTTCAGCGGTACAGTTTGTGATCAACTCATAGTCCAATGCTGGGATTATGGGTGTGAGTACTACAACTGCTCTAGGGTGAGTAGCCTGCATACAATATAAGGGGACAGAAAGAGGCTTGTCCCTCTTCTCTCTTTCTTCCTTCCCTGGCTTGCTTTTGCTGTCTTCTGGTGCCATGAACTGTTCCTCCTCTGGGATGCCCCTCTGCCAGGCCACCCTGCCTTGAAGCCAGCCAGTTATAGACCAAATCCTCTAAAAACTGTGAGCTAAATAAACCTCTCTTCCTTTAACTTTGGGTGTTGGGTATTTTCTCCCAGCAAAGAGAAAAGTAAGACAGTCTTTGGGATTTATGGGTTTATAGTATTAGAAGAAAACGTAGGTCAAATTTTTAGATTTACTGTATCTTTTTTAATATTTATTTTTATTAGTGCATGTTTACAGTACATAATGATTACATTCATTGGGTTTTACTGTTTCTTTAAGACAATGATTTAGGAATGTGAAGCCTGCGGGAGGGGGACAGGTACAAGAGTGAAAAAGAGTTGTAACCTTGGAATAACTTTGTTATCTTGATGCTGCAGTTTCTTAAAATTTATAATTTCCTTACCTGCTTTCTATGTATCTGTCTTGGTTACTTTTCTCATTGCTAAGACAAAATACCCAAAGTTAAAGGAGGAAAGGTTTATTTTGGCTCACAGTTTGTAGAAGTTTCAGTCCATATTGGCTGGCTCCAAGGTAGGGTGGCATTGCAGAGGAGAAACAGTTAATGGTAGGCAGAAAGCAGCAAAAGCAGCAAGAAGCAAGGGACAAGCAACAACCCTCTTTCTGTCCTTTATATTCCATCTAGGCTACCAGCCCTTAGTGTGGGTAGCATTCACATGCAGGCCAGGGCACCGTATTCCTACCCAGAACTATACACCCTTGATTCCAGCATCACACACATAATCCCAGCATTACACACTGTAGATCTGGCTACCTGTGGAAAGCGCCACCTATGACTGCGTGAGGCTTTAGGGGCACATCTAGACACAAGCCATAATAGTATCTTTATTTCTTTAGTCTTTGGATCAATGAACATTAAGGGTTTCAGGAATTTGGATGTGGGTTTCTTGGGGATCATTATTCAGCCTACCATATATAAATAAATAATTACTGCACTTTTTTATTTTATTAGCTTTCCTTACCAAAACTTTACCAAAATTGCTTATAAGTAGTAAGATAATTGTTGAATTTTATTTTCCTTTCCCATTCTCCAAAGGCCCTGTCTTGGTTACTTTTCTCTCGTTGCTGGGACAAAATACCTGATGCCCAAAATTAAGGAAGGAAAGGTTTATTTTGCTTACAGTTTGTGGAGGTTTTAGACCATACTTGGCAGGTTATAAGGCAGAGTGGCACATGGCAGAGGGCTATAGCTTATGGCAGCAGAACACAGCAAAAGCAACAACCACTAAAAAGGGAGGAATGGCCTCAAGCAGCCTCTTCCTCTCCCTTACATATGCAAACTATCCACCCCAGGGCGGATGTAGCTCTCACACCCATAATCAATCAAACTCTAAAAGCCTGCCCTATGACCGCATGAGGCTTTGGGGGGACACATAGACACAAGCCATAACAGGCCCTAAAGTATAGTAAGGAACCTGCAACACTTGGGAGGTTGAGGCAGGAGGATTGTTGCAAGTTTGAGACAAGACTGGGCTACAAAGTGAGCTCAAGGTCAGCCTGAACTGCATAGCAAGACCCTGTCTCAAAAAGACAAAAAAGGGCTGGGGATATAGCTCAGTGGCACAAGCGCCTGCCTGCCAAGTGCAAGGTCCTAAGTTTGATTCCCAGTACCAAACAAAAAAAAAAGTAACCTAGCAGGCAAAAGAAGAAGAAAAAAGTAAACACAAACATATTGGATTATCTCTTTACTTTATATTTTTTTTTCCCCAAAATGAGTTGTCTAAACAACTTGGCATGGTGTATCTTATCGATCCTTGAGGGAAATGGTCTATAGAGACATTTAAAAAATATTCTTGCTATTTCTGCAATGATAAGTATATATATTTGGGGTGGTTGAGACAAGATCTTGCTGTGTAGTTCAGGCTAGCTTTGAACTCACTCTGTAGCCCAGGCTGGCCTTGAACTCATGATGATCCTCCTGTCTCAGCCTCCCAAGTGCTGGACTTACAGGTGTGCGTCACCATGCTTCATTGTTTTCTGTGTATATTTGACTAGCTAGTTTCTTTTTTTATTACCACAGGTAGCAGATGTCTTTCAATTTTCCATGGAAACTGGTGGCTTTCTTCCAAACTGCATCAGTACTTTACAGGAAAGTTTAATAAGACACCTTGATGTAGCCCCTAAGTATCTCTCCTTTCTAGAAGACAGACAAAAATTGATTAAGGTAAGTGTCAAGGATGTCTCATTTGACAATAATTTTTTCAAGTGTTTTCTGAATAGGATTAATAACCTATTATATAAAAAAAAAGACAGCTGCCATGTAAGCATATGCAAATCAACAAAATCTTAGTTGTGCCAGATGGCTACAATTTGTGGTTTCAAGTGGTTAAAAGTTAGGACCCAGATTTGCTGATTATCAACTAAAAAGTACTCTGAAATAAAATTTTCAAGTTGGGACAAGGAGAAATTTTGTGATAATTTGGATTAATGAGATGGAACCAAAATCATCACAATTATTTCTACCAAGGAGATATAAATTTTATTGCCAGGCATGGTGGTACATACCTGTAATCCCAGCATGGAAGGCTGAGGCAGAAGAGTCCCTGAGAATTTAAAGCCAGCCTAAACTACATAGTAAGACACTGTTTCAAAAACAAACCATATGTATATATTTCCCAACTTGGGATATGACTGTATTGTCTACAAACTTGGTCATATACTTAAGTCCATTGTCTCCAACTTTTTTCTTTCTTTTTTTTTGTTTTTGTTTTTGTTTTTGGGACAGGGTCTCACTATGCAATTCATGCTGGCCTTAAATTCACTCAGGCTGGCCTCAAGCTTATGGTGATCTTTATGCCTCAGCCTCCTGAGTTCTAGGATTATAGGCGTGCACCACTACACCTGGCTGCTGCCTTTAATTTTAAATGCTAAATCTAGATCGACCCCCTCCCTCCTCTTTCTCTTATTTCATCCACACATTTTAATTGTGTGTGTGTATGCTCAGAAGACTACTTATAAATTTAAAGTTAAAGATAATAATGTCAGAAAATTAGTGTTTTAAATTAAGCAACTCTCTGGACTGGTTACGGGGGATGCATGCCTGTAATCCCAGTTGCTTGGGAGGAGGAGGCAGGAGGATCACAAATCAGAGGCTAGCTGGGCAATTTAGCAAGACTTCATCACAGAATAAAAAAGGGCTGGGGATAGAGCTCAGTGGTAGAGTACTTGCCTACCATGTGTGATGCCCTGGGTTCATTTCCCAATACTCGAAAAAATGTTTCGGTGTCTCTAGGAAAATCCAGAGGTGTGGTTCACACGTCCTCTTCCACCCTCTTTACTGAAAATGTTGGCCCTGGAAGCAACCTACCTGCTCCCTCTTCGCACAGCACTCCTTGACGAGATGATGTCTGACCTCACCACCCTGGTGGGTGGCTACCTAAACACCTGCCGAGGAGGCTCTGCAGACCAGCTTGTAGGCACAGAGGTAGGTGTGGCTGTTTTCAGAACCTCTTTTGCTGGTTTCTGCCTCTCCTAGGGAGCGCGTAGTGACACTCACTCTTCACAACCTCACCAACTTTCATATGCAGACTTAGTGATAGATATAAATATATAAACATATATATATACATATATATACATATATATACACACACATATGAGAGAGGGAGAGAGAGAGAGAAGGAGCATAGGAGGGAGTCCACCAAAAAATATATACATCAGGAAAAGAAAAACTTGTATAAATATTTTATACTAAATTTACTGAGATATCATGAGATTAATACAAGTTAATTTGGCCTCTAAAGTTCAAGAGGTGCTCAAAGTGATGACCATTGGCTTCTAGATGTTTATTAGTTGTGCAAACTGCTGAAGTATGTATACATTTTTTGGGGCACTGTCTATTCTTTTTTTTTCTTTCTTTCTTTCTTTTTGGTACCAGGAATCGAACTCACGACCTCACGCTTGCCAGGCAGGCGCTGTGCCTCTGAGCTAAACCCCCAGCTCCTGGGCAGTTTGTATTTCTCTCTCCCTTCCCCTCCATCCCCCTCCCTCCTTTCTTCCCTTCCTCTTCCTCCCTGCATCTGTCCTCCATCTCTCCCTCCTTCCCTCTCTCCCTCTCTCTTTCTCTCCCTCTCCCCATACCTCCTTCCCCGTCCCCCCTCTATATTTTTGTACTGGTACTGGATATTGAATCCAAGGCCTTCACACTGTGCTATATCACCAACCTTTTTTATTTTTTATTTTGAGAGAGTCTCATAGTCACTGAGATATTCAGCCTGGGCTTGAACTTGTGATCCTCCTGCCTTGGCCTCCCAGATACTGGGATTATAGTTATGTACTACCAGGCCCAGTAGTGATAAATATTCTTAAAGAGGCTATAGCTTGGGCTTGATCCATCATCTTCAACACATTTTCATGTCTGTTAAAGCATGAATAAATTCAAGATTTCATTAGTTATTTTTTTGTAGGCTGACTAATACAATCAAAGTATAGACCAGGAATTGGTAAACTATTGTTTGCAGGTCAAATCTGGCCCATGGCCTTTTTTTATACAGTTCATGAGCTAAGAATGATTTTTATATTTGTAAAGAATTGTTTAAAAAAAAATAGAAGGGGTGAGGGGTGTAGCTCAGTGGTAGAAAGTTTGCCTGGTATTCCTGAAGCTCTGAGTTTGAGCCCTAGGCACTGAAAAAAGTAAGTACAGATGCCCCTTGATTTATAATTAGTAGATTGAAAATACTGTAAGTCAAAAGTGCATTTAAAGCTTGGCATAGAGGCACACACCTGCAGTCCAAGCACTCTTGTAGGCTGAAGCAGGAATGTCACAAGTTCAAGCATATGCTGGGGAGTTGAGTGATTTAGCAAGCTCCTGTTTCAAAAATCATAGGAAGGCTGGCAGTGTAGCTTAGTGAAAAGACCCTGGGTCTAGTGGTCAGTAACACTAAAAGTGTTATAAGTCAGTCCATCTGAGAATAGAGTTCATGACTCACAAAGCCTAAAATATTTGCACATGGTATGCAGGTATTGCTTTATCCAACTGTACCCTATAAATGTGGATAATTACTATGTGTCAAAATATATTTTAAAATATTTTCAGCTGTACCCTTTACAGAAAAAGATTGCTGATTGCTGCTATAAATTGTTCTCATATTAATACTGATGCAAAATTCTAAATAAAGTACTCCTAGCATTTTGGTCCAAACCACTAATATTTTATATCTATCTATATCTATATCTATATCTATCTATCTATCTATATCTATATCTATATCTATATCTATCTATCTATATATTTTTTGGTGTTGTTTTGTTTTTTGAGGCAAGGTCTATGTAGTTCAAGGTGGACTTGAGCTCACTATGTAGCCAGGTTGGCTTTGAACTCGTTATGATCCTTCTGCCTCAGCCTCCTGACTACTGAGACTATAGGCATGTACCACCATGCCTGGTCCCACTAAAATGTGTAATGTTTTGCATCTCCCCCGCCCCCGCCACATCAGACCAGAAGTGTCCCAGTGTGGTAACAAGATTTGAGCACATCTCTCATGATAGCATGAAAACTTAATTATGGCTATGAACCACAAAATACTTACGTATTTTACTTTTAATTTTCCCTGGATTCTAGTTGCAAACATGATTCAATATTAGAAAATTTTTCATTTAATAGATCCAAGAAAGTTTTATTATTATCAATGCTAAAAAAGTGGTATAATATCCTACATGTGTTACTGTTTTAAGTATGAAATGGATACTTTTCTAACATGGTAAAACACATCTTAGTAGAGATTACATAATGTTTGAGAACACTAGGAACATTCTCATTAAAATCAGGAGTAACATAAAAATGGTGACTAGCATTTTTTGAAGATATGAGACAGTAAAATTATTTTAAAAAGCTATGAAGAGGAGTCACAATTCTGGCTTGCCTACTATACAATTGAAAACTGAAGAAAATCAAAAGAAAAAGATTACCACAAACCAAAAAGACAATTTAATAAAGTGACTAGGTACAAACATAAAATTAATATATTTTCTATACTCATACAGATACAAGTATAATGGGTGGGGAAAAAACTCATAATTGTATGAAAAAAAGTAGATTACCCAGAAATAACAAGAAATGTGGACTATAAGTGAAGAAAACATTTTAGTATTACTGAATGGCATAAAAGAAGACTTAAATGAATGGAGACACTAAATATTTTAGCTATGGATTATTCCTAAATTAACATTGGAACTTAGTTGCATTCCAGTAAAAATATTAACATCTGGGTTTTTTTTCCAGCACTAGGGATTGAACCCAGTACCTCATGCATGTTAGGCAAACACTCTACTACAGTTACATTGTTTCTTTTAAGACTGTCTCTTTCTATTGTTTCTTTTGAGACAGGATCTGGCTGAGTGGTCCAGGCTTGCCTCAAACTTGAGATCCTACTTCATAAATAGCTAGTATTACAGACTTGAGCCACCACACATAGCAACACCTGGGTTGGTTTGCTCCTCCTGCCCTGCCCCCTCTGGGGAATTGAATACAGGGCCTTTTTCACTGAACTTTATCCCCAGTCCCCTTTTTATTCTGAGATGGGATCTCCCTAATTTGGCCAGGCTAAACTCAAACTTGGGGTCCTCCTGCCCAGACTCCCAGAATGCTGGAACTGCAGCTATGCACCACTACAGCTGGCCTACACCTGGTCCCTATTGGTCCCCTACACTGGTCCCAAAGTCAGGGCCTCTACAAGGGACCAAGCTATGATTGCTGGGATTGTACAAACCAATAAACATGCACAAATAATCAGGGCATTTTGGAAAAAGGAGTATAATGAAGAAGACTAGTTGTGTCAAATATTAAAACATATTGTAAAGCTACATTAAAGAAAATAGTTTTTGACTGAATAAGCCAGTGGAATTGAGAACCCAGAAATAAGTTCAGTATATATCTGCCAAGATGATTTTGATAAAGGTAGCATTTCCAGTCAAAGGGAAACAATTATTTAGTAAATGGTCTCAGACAATTGATTTACCAGTGTAGGGAAGGAAAATATATGGCCCTCTCATTACATCAAACATAAACTCCATGGATCAAATATTTATGTAAAAATGAAATTATAATATTATAAGAAAAAAAAAGAATTGCTGGACATGGTGGCACATCCTGTAATCCATGCCATTTGGGAGATTGAAGGAAGAGTATCACAAGCCAGCCTGGGCAATTTAGCAACTTTGTGAGAACCTGTTTCAACAAACAAATAAAATAAAACAACAACAACAAAAAAGCAAAGTCAGGGCCTCTACAAGGAAAACTACAGTACTATGAAAAAGGAGATTGAAGAGGACATCAGAAAATGGAAAGATCTCCCCGCTTCTGGATAGGCAGAATCAATATTGTCAAAAGGGCCATACTTCCAAAACTTACATAGATTCAATGCAGTCCCAATCAAAATATCAACAGCATTTTTACAGAACTAGAGAAAACAGTTCTAAGTTCATAGGTACCAGAAGAGACCTAGAATAGCAGAGCAATTTTGGGCAACAAGAGCAAAGTAGGAGGCCTTATAATACCTGACTTCAAGGTATACGACAAACAATAGTGATAAAAACAGTATAGCACATGGATACCATGGTACAGGGATCAATGGAACAGAATAGAGGATACAGAACATTTCCAAACACAGTCAGCTCTTTGATCTTTGATCTTTGATGAAGGGACCCAAAGCACATGTTGGAAGAAAGACAGCCTATTCAACAAGTGGTGCTGGGAAAACTACTTGTTTGTGGAAGATTGAAACTGGACCCTTATCTCTCACCGTATACTAAATTAAAAGTAAAAACTGATCAAAGATCTAAACATTAAAAAAGAAACATTAAACCTACTAGAAGATAAAATAGGTAAAACATTTAAAGACATAGGTATGGGAAAATATTTTCTAAACAAAACCTCAGTTGCCCAAGAAGTAACTATAAGAATAAACAAATGGGATTGTATTGGACTGAAAAGCTTCTATACCACAAAAGAATCAATAGTAGAGTGAAGACTGAATGGGAAAAAAATTTTGCCAGCTACTCCTCAGACAGAGGACTAATATCTAGAACAGTGATGGCAAGTGTTTAAGAGACAAGTGCCCAAACTGCAGCCCAAAACCCACTTATTTGTTGCAAAGTGCCAACTCTGCAATTAAACCTGAATATTGAGGTTTTGGTTTAGAAAAAACAACTCACACATTAACATATTTTGTCTTACAAGAGAAACAAATAACATGGGTGCCATAGGTTTGTCATCACTGATCTACAGTATATAAAGAACTAAAAAAAACCCCAAAAAACAAAAACACGCAAGAGAATGGCTAGGCATGGTGGCACATGCCTATAATCTCAGCACTCAGAAGCTGAGGCAGGAGGATCTCTGTGAGTTCGAGGCCAGCCTGACTACAAAGTAAGTTCAAAGCCAGCCTGAACTACATAGTGAGACCCTGTCTCAAAAAAACAAAAGCAAAGAAAAGCCAAAAACAAAAACAAGAAATGGGTAACAGAAATGAACAGACACTTCACAGAAAAAAAAAGACAAGTAGTCAACAAATACATGAAAAAATGTTCAACATTTCTGGCCATTAGAAAAATACAAATTACAACAATACTAAGATTTCCGTGTTACTCCGGAGAGAATGGCAGTCATAGCCAGGCATGGTGGTGCAAGCCTGTAGTAATCACAGTACTTGGAGGCTGAGGCAAGAGGATTCCTGTGAGTTTGAAGCTGGCCTGGACTACATAGTGAGTTCAAGGTCAGCCTGGACTACATAGGGAGATTCTGTCTCAAAAAAACATTAAAAATATCAAACAGTAACAAATGCTGGCATGGCTGTGGTGAAAAAAGAACCCTTCCTCATTGTTGGTGGAAATGTAAATTAGTACAACCATTATGGAAATTATTGTGGAGGTTTCTCAAAGAACTGTAGAAATTCCACATGAATAAGTGAACCCCCTTCTAGGGGTGTTCCCCAAAAAGCTTAAGACATACTACAGTGGTACATGCCTACCAATGTTTATAGCAGCACAATTCATAATAGCTAAATCCTGGAAGCAGCCTGTACCCCCACCAACAGATGGTTGGATAAAGAGAATGTGGTGTCTATATAGAAGGGAATACTACTCAGCTGTAAAGAGTGACAAATTTGAGACATTTGTGGGAAAATGGATGCACCTGGAAAATACAATGTTGCGTGAAATAAACAGACATACAGACATTATAAACTTAAATACTGTATGGTACCTCATTTGAGTGAGTCGAGTACAAAGAGAACAATAAAGGATGAGTCGAAGGGGACAAGGGGACAGATCTCTTGCGGTGGGGAAGTGGTCCAAGGAAACAAGGGTGAGGAGTGAGGAGGAGGGAGGGGGAAATGAGTAGAACAAAGATTTGCCATGTTCAGGAACCTAATACCTTCAAAGAATGTAAATGTTGTATGACACAACAGGAGCTAAGATTAATAAAATGAACAAGAATGAAAATTGGGATAGGGGAATTAGAGGAGGAGGGAGGGAAGGGAAAGGAAATTAAAACAAAAAAGAAACAAGATGTAGTATGTACATGTAACCATTTCCCAAGATGACCGTAAAGTTTATATACTGCAGCCATGTTCTAATAATTTTTTTTAAAGTTTAAAAAATCTGTTACAGATATGACAAGGATATGGCAGCTTTTCTCTTTTCTGACCAAAAATTTAATGTAAGTTTCCACGATCATCCAATATATGATAAAGATTTAAAAAGAAGTCTGGGGATGTAGCTCAGTAGTATTTGCTTAGCATTTATGAGACCTTCGGTTCATTCCCCAGCACTGCAAAACAAAAAACAGAAGCTTTAAATTTCCACAACACAGAAGGCTTTTTGTTTTTTTTGAAACAGGGTCTCACTGTGTAGTTCAAACTGGCCTTGACTGAATTAACCCTGTAGTGCAGGCTGGCCTTGAACTCACAGTGATCCTCATGCCTCAACCTCCTCATTGCTGAGATTACAGTTGTGCACCACCAGCCCTGCTGGAAGGTTTTTTATGTAACTAAAGAACATTTAAAGGCCATAAAAGACTAACAAATTTTAAATTAAAAACCTCCTTAACTGGGTGTAGTGACATACGCCTGTAGTCCTAGCTTTTTAGTAATCTAAGGCTGGACATCTCTTGAGCCCACAAGTTTAAGGCCAGTCCAGGCAACAGTGAGATCCTGTTATACTGCCCCTAATTTTTTTTTTTTTTTTTTTTTTGATACGTTAAAAGTGGTGCACACCTGTAGGCCCAGTGCTCTGGGAGGCTGAGGTGAACATTGCGAATGTGTCAAAACAAAAAGAAAGGTCTGAGGATGCAGCTCAGTGCAAAGGTGCTGGGTTCAATCTCTAGCAAACACACACACAGACCTGGAAGTCAAAAGGTAAAGCCATGTTAGAAAAATTACCAAATTACTTGTACTGTGTAACAAAGTGGACATTTTCTTCATGTACTGTATTTTTTTTTTTTTTTTTTGGTGCTGGGAATTGAACTCAGGACCTCATGCTTGCCAGGCAGGCACTGTGCCATTGAGCTATATCCCCATCCTGTATTCTTTATTTCAGCATTTATGTAATGACAAAAGACTGAAAATAACTCAAATATCCACAAATACCCATCAAGAAGGGTTTTGTTGAGTAAGTTATATCCACATAGCCCTTAAAAATACTTGACAGTCTCCAAAACAAAACTTTTATTTAAAAAAATTAAAATGCTGATGAACATATAACAGTATGTACCCATTCGTATAGAATGTTTTTGGAAAATGTTATCAAAATTAAAAATTGGAGTAAAAATGAAAATGTAGGGCTGGGGATATAGCTCAGTGGCACAAGCGCCTGCCTAGCAAACGCAAGGTCTTAAGCTCAACTCCCAGTACCAAATAAATAAATAAAAATTTATACTGGGGTTAAATATGTGGCTCAGTCATAGAGCATATGCCTACCATGTGAAAGGCCCTGTGTTGGATTCCACGCAGCATGAAAGAAAAAAGGAATCTAAAATAAATTAATTAAAAAAGGAATCTAAAGGAAATATAAACATTTAAAAAGGCAACATATGTTAGTACATATGATCATATATGCATAGACTATCCCTAGATCACACAAGAAACAGCTTTTTTGTTTTGTGTTTCATTTTTGTTTCTTAAGACAAGATCTCACTATGTAGTTTAGGTTGGTCTTGAACTTATTATGTATCCCTGGCTGGCCTTGAATTTATAGTGATCCTCTAGCTCAGCCTCCAGGTGCCAGGATTATAGGTGTGCTGGCTAAGAAACAGCAGTTTACAGGATGAACCTGCTAAAGCAAATGGGACCATGTTGGGAGATTCAGTTTTCCTGTGTTAATTGTTGTATGCGTGCGCGCACACACACACACACACACACACACACACACACACACTGGATTCAAGGTATTTAAATCACTTAAGAAAGAGTACAATTGTTGAATACACTAGAGGGTGCTATATGATCGCATTTGAATAGACACTTGATTGCCTACTCTCATTAGGTATAATAGAAGTAATTCTTTTTTGTTTGTTTGTTTTTGCTACTGGGAATCGAACTCAGGACCTTGTGCTTGCCAGACAGGCGCTTGTGCCACTGAGCTATATCCCCGGCCCTTAGAAGTAATTCTTAAGTACTATATTTACAAGTTAGTTATTGTAAACCTGTGTTCATTTTCTTTTCTCAGCCTACATGTATGGAGCTGCCAGAGGAACTGCTTCAACTCAAAGACTTCCAGAAGCAGCGCAGAGAGAGAGCTGCGAAAGAATATAGGATGAATGCACAAGGACTCCTAATAAGGACCGTGCTACATCCAAAGAAATCAGATACAGCAACAGCAGGAAAAGGGAAAAAAGTCAGAGGCTTCTTTTTTTGTAAAGATCCTAGGGAAGAGAAGCCGCCAAGTCTGACATCCCATGAATTTCACGAGGATGGGAATTTTTTGAAAGGAGAATTTAAAACAACAGTAAAATCTGAACATCTCCCTCCTATAAAAAAGGGAGAAACCAGTGAGGGTTCCAGTAGCAGACTTATTTGCCCTGAGTCAAAAAGATCAGAAGATGGGAGGATAACTCAGAAAGAATACTTTATGTTGCCCAAGCATGAGTTTCAGGCAAGTTTTTCTGTGAAAGAAGAGCAATTCTTTATTACAGTTATTGATTCTCAAAGATAAGGAATATTTGTTGTCCACAAAACCAGATGTTTCAGTATCTCCTTTTCTTCTTCAGGAAACCAGAGTGTCACCAAATGATACCTTTCATCCTTTTAAAGATGCTGGGATTTCCACACTCCCTCCCTGTCCAGCCTTGGAGAAGATCGACTGGTGGATAAATCCGTCTCTAAATCTGTTTTAGGATTTGCAGTTTGCTTGAGGCCATATGGGGGCCTCATTTCCCGTGTCATCCAGGGCTTACTCAGTGTTTAAATTTCTCATGTTGTGGGCGTAGTTATGCCTCAGTCACAGGCTTCAGGGAAAGGTATATCCTTTTCTTTACTCCTACATTCATAGTATATGGATTAGGATGGGAATTAATACATTAATAAGGAAAGACATAAAATTTCTGATTCTGTCACAGTGCAGAAATGTTTCCAGTGGCCAGAGTAAATTATATCTCATAATTTGAGTTTAGAGGTTTTTGAAGGGGGAAATATTTTGGGCTTAGTGTCAGGGAGAATCTATAATTTTAAATTTTCATTCTGATTTTGGCTTTTCAATTGGCTTGAAGGGAATCTGCAAGACTCTTAGTTATTCCTAAGTTAAAAAAATTGGCATTAGTGTTACTAATAATTTTTTCCTTAAAATACTAACTTTATGCTTGAATTTTTAATGTTTTGTCTGTCTTGAGTCAAAGAAAAACAGTAGTTAATGTTACAGGAATCAATATCTCAAATTTATTTCATTTAGAAGGTTTTGTGTTTTTTGGGGGGTCCATTTCACTAACAAAACTAGGACTTTGGGCTTTTTTTAGTATATCTATTATGTAAACTTGAAAAAGGATTTCATTATATTGGCCTGGAGTTGATATATGTTCTTATGATAAAAGAAAGGTGTGGAGGCACACACCTGTAATCCCCGCTCTCAGGGAAGCTGAGAGAAAGAGGCTGGCAAGTTCAAGCCCAGCCTGGGCAACTTAGCAAGAACCTATCAAAATAAAGGATAAAAGAAAGGGTTGGGGATGTAGCTCAGTGTGAAGGCCCTGGATTCAACCCACAGAACTGTGCCCCTTCCCCCGACCAAAAAAAAGGCAGCTTGTATTGAGCCTTTTTTATATTGTGTATTTACAAATTACATTCTTTTGTGTAAAATAACCAATAAACCTGTTTGAACATTAGGTGATCTCTCGCTTTTCTTAATTGGATGATGATAGGAAGATTTGAAATATGTCTAGATATCTAGGTCTGGAGTCTAGTTTAGAAATCTGTCATTTGACTCCGTTATAGAACTGTATTACTTAGGGGAAATTTAGGGACAGTCTAAATTATTTTATCTGCACCAGTCATTTCTGTTCTTAGTGCTGCTAAAAGAATCACTGTCTTTTTCCAGAACCCAGAACCCAGATCTAGTCTGTGTTTAAGAATAATGCAGGCAAAAACAAAAAGAAAAAAAAAAAGCCCACAACAGCAAAAATGCAGGCAGGCTGAGCTGGGTGTGGTAGTGCACGCTGCTCAGTCTGAGGCCAGTCTGTGCTATATCGTGCTATATTGCGAGACCCTATCTCAAAAAAGATAACAGAAGGAATAAGGCAGGCCCGACAGCAATTGGCTGAGCCTCAGAGCTGTATTATCTACCGTGTCCTTAGTATAGAAAGATACCTGGGGCTAAGTTGATTGCTGGGTCATCTTAGGGAAATGTATTTTCAGGTTGAGCTCAGGATGTGGTTTATATAGTTTTACTCTAGGAAGGGCATGAACGCCTGTAAAATTCTGAAATTGATTTTGCAACTTGTAGAACTTTTTTGGGGGGCAGGGACAGGCTGACCTTGAACTCACTGTGTAGCCTTGGCTGGCCTCCAACTCGCAGCAATCCTCCTGCCTCAGCCTCTTGAGGTTTGGGATTAGTACACCACCACACCCAGCTTGTGCATCAGTGGAACTATGAAGTTATCATTTATTTTGTGTGTGTGCGCGATTCGAAGTAAAATGTAGAAATTGGCATATTAAAAATAGGATTTTTCAGTTGGGGCTGATGGTATACACCTGTAATCTCATCACTATGGGAGGCTGAGGTAGGAGGACAGCAAAGTTTGAGCCCAGCCAGGGCAACTTAGTGACCTAGTGAAACTGTCACAAAATTAAAAAGGCTGAGGATGTAGCTCAGTGTAAAGACCTAGGGCTCAAACCCCAGAACCAAGGGGGGAGGTGGGAGGAAAAGAAAAAACCACAGTGTAATCTCCAAGAAAAGAACTACTAGAATCCATAATTAATAAGCTCATGGGATACAATGGCAATATATAAAAATGTAGATATATAAAAACTACTAGCAATAAATAGACATTGAATTTTTAAAAACAATACAATTTACAATACAGTAATGTCCCAAACATGGTGTTCTTAATATATTTAACAAAATGTATGCAAAGCCTGTGTAGGAAAAATCACAAAATATTGCTGAGAGAAAATAAGCTATGTAAATTAAAATGTACCCTGAAAATGAGGTATTGTATAGATGTTAGATGAAAAATTAGATGTTAATTTTTCTCAAATTGACCTACAGGTTTATTGTAGTCCCAATCAAAATTCAAGCAGGATTTTATGTAGAAATTGACTGCTTCTAAAATGTATACAGATGCAAAGAGATTATCTAAAACAGTTTAGGAAAGAAATAATAAGGTTGGAGGATTTATCCCACCAAATTTCTAGACTAAAGCAGCCATTATTAAGGTTGGAGTATAGCTCAGTGATAAAGTGTTTGCCCAGCGTGCAGGACGCTCTATGATCCATCAAAACTGAAAAAAATTGGTTGCAGAACAAGTAGATAATACACGGGGTGAGGTGGGGAGGAAGAAGCCAACCCTGACTTCATACAGTACAAAATATTAAACTAGGTGTGGTAGCAATGCCTAGCAATAATTGTAGCACTCTTGGTGGGTGAAACAGGAGGATGCAAGTTTGATCCTAGCCTGGACAATTTGTTGAATTAGGGAGACTGTCTCCAAATAAAAGAGGAGGGTGGGTTTGGAGATGTTGCTGAGTGTGAAGACTCTAGGTTTAGTTCACAGTTCTTTAAAAAACATAATTTTTTTTTTTTTTTTTCCGGTACCACTAATGGAACTCACTACCTCGTGCTTGCCAGGCAGGCACTATGCCACTGAGCTAAACCCCCAGGCCCCTGAGCTAAACCCCAGCCCCCAAAATAATACATTTTAAAATTAAGTTAAAAAGACCTATGTAAAAGCTAAAACTAAAAATTTTCAATAGGGACAGTTTCTATACATAATATTGGGGTAGAAAAATATTTCTTACTTAGGATAGAAAAAACACAAATCATAAAGAAAAATAAAACCATGACTTGTATGAATTGGATATCATAAAAATGTAAATGTTCTCCTTGAATGATACTGCAAAGAAAACAGGAAATATTTGCATCATGTATTCTGACAAAGGATTTATGTTCAATATATATAAGGAAATCTATGGCTTAATAAGACAATCCAATTTAAAAACGAAATCATTTGAATACAAATATCACAAAAGCAGATATGAATGTAAGAATGGCCAATAAGCATATGAAATGACATTCAGCATTATTCCTTACCAAACAATGTAAATTATTATTATTATTTTTGGTCTTTTTTGAGACAGGATCTCACCATACAGTTCAGGCTGGTCTTGAACTCGCTTCTTAGCCCAGGCTGGCCTCAAACTTGCACCAATCCTCCTGCCTCAGTATCCCGAGTGCTGAGATTACAGGCATATGCCACCACGCCCAGCTAACAATGTGAATTAAAACCACAACAACATACCACACAAACTCACTACAGTGGGTAAAATGTGAAAAAAAAAAGTCACCAAACATGAATGGAGGGGCTGGGGATATAGCTCAGTAGCACAAGTGCCTGCCTGAAGCCAAGTGTGCTGGCGCACGCCTGTAATCCCAGGACTTGGGAGGTTGAGGCAGGAGGATCCTTGCAAGTTCGAGACAAGCCTGGCTACAAAGTGAGCTCAAGGCCAGCCTGAACTGCATACTGAGACCCTGTCTCAAAAAGACAAACAAAACAAAACAAAAACAACAACAACAAAAAAACAAGTGCCTGCCTGGCAAAGCATAAGCTTCTGAGTTTGATTCCCAGTGCCCCCCCCGCCAAAAAAAAATACAACAGACATGAATGAGACTATAGAGCAAGCTGAATTCTCATATGTTGGTGGGAATGCAAACAGATACAACCATTTTGAGAAAAGACTTGGACATTTCTTCAATGGTTCAATATGTACTTAGTTAATCAGAAGTGCAGCTTGTTGGTATTTGTGCCTGCAACCCTTGTTGTGGTTGTTTTGGTGCTGGGGATTAAACCCAGGGCCTCACACATGCAAGGCAAGTGATCTATCACTGAGCCATATCCCCGGGTCCTTTTTATTTTGAAATGGGGTCTCATTAAGTCCCCAAGCTAGCTTTAATCAGTGATCTGCCTGTGTCGGTCTCTTGACTGGCAGGTGTTGCAATCGTTCAACACCTGCACAGGGCTGTTGTGGGCAGTTCAGCAAGGGTCTATCTCAAAACTTCAAAAGGATGAGGATGTAGCTCAGTAGTAGAACACTTACATGTATGAGGCCCTATATTCAGTCCCCAGTATTCTAAAAAAATGACATACAATACCAAAAAACTGGAAGTTGCTGGTCTAGTGAGTATAGGGAAAATAATCATTCAGGTTACAAGTATTTATTTATTTATTTATTTACTCAGTCAGTGTCGGTGATCCCAGCCCTTTGCACTGAGCTACATCCCTAGCCCTTTAATTTTTTAAAAGATGGGGTTTTGCTGAGTTGCCCAGGCTTGGTTTGAACTTGTAACTTCTGCCTCCACTCCCAGAGTGCTGGGGTTACAGGTATGTGCCACCACACCTGGGCAATAATTTGTTAAATGATAAATTTAGACAAGACTTTAAAAGTAAGATATGCACATGGTTATAAAATAAATGGTACAGAAGAATTTACAATGGCAATAAATATGCCCTGACCCTTCTTTCATAACCTTGGTCCTGTTTCCCAGAAACATTCGCTTTTAATACTTAAACTTTTTTTTACCCCCTTTTTTTTTTTTTTTTTTACCAGTAAACTGTAGATGGGTGGATGTGGAAGAGCTGATGAGAAGCTTTGGCAGTAATGCAAAGCAGAGGGCTGGTAAGTAAAGCCTCATGTGCTCATTTGGCCGTATCATGACACTTCCACATTCCCGGGTTCTCACATTCCCTGGAGTGCATTCTTATAACTTGAAAGCCACCTGATGGCTAAACACTGAATATTTTAAATAAGAACTTTGTAATGAAAACATTTCTTAGGAAGAGCCAAATATCAAGTTCCAGGAAGGAGAGAAAGAAGTCCTCTTTATTGTGCAAGCCTCTGGGATGCCATTCATAATTTGCTTTTTAAAGAAGCTATTGAAATAGTAAACTCTTGATGTTAGAGGAAAGGAAACTCTTTTTGGGGGGGTTCAAATTTTTTTTTTTTTTTTTTTTTTTTTGTCTTTTTGAGAGCATTCCATTATGCAGTTGAGGCTGTCCTTGAACTCACTTTGTACCCCAGGCTGGCCTTGAACTCTCAGCAATCCTCCTGCCTCAGCCTCCTGAGTCTGGGGATTATAGGCAGAAGAAAGGAAACTTTCTCAGGCCTGCTTTCTGAGAAGGCCAACTTAATATATGTGC